TAAGTATTCATACCCTTATCTGGGACAGTTGAAATTTAGCTCAGGAGCAATCATTTTGCTTGTAAATGTTACCACACTTTAAGTTAACCTGTGGCAAATTCAGTCGAATGGGTATGATTTGGAAAGGCACACACGTCTTAATAAAAGGTCTAACAGCTGATAATGCATATTAGAGCAAAAACCAAGCACTGAGGTCAAAATAACTGCATGTAGAGCTCAGAAACAGGTTTGCGTCAAGCCACACATCTGTGGAAGAGTTCAGAAAAAAATTCTGCTTCATTGAAGGTTCACAGAAGCATGTGGTCTCCGTTACCCTTAATGGAAGATGTTTGCAACAACCAAGTCTCTTCCAAGAGCTGGCCTCCTGGCCAAACTGAGCAAATGATGGAGAATGGCTTTGGTTAGAGTGGTGACCAAGAACCTGATGGTCACTCTAGTTGAGCTCCATGATCATATGTGGAGATGGGAGAAATTTACAGAAGGACAAACATCACTGCAACACTCCACCGATCTGGGCTTTATGGTGGTGTGGCAAGGCTCAATCCTCTCTTCAGTTAAGACACATGAAAACACACTTAGAATTTGCCAAAACAAAAGCACCTAAAGGACCCTCAGACTCTGAGAAACAATATTATCTGGTCTGATGAACCTCAATTCTAAGCATCATGTTTGAAGGAAACCAGGCACTGCTCATCAGTCATCACCTGCAGAGTAGCATCCCAAAAGTAAAGTGTGCTGGTAGCAGCCTCATGCTGTGGGGCTGTTTTTCAGCGGCAGGGACCGAGAGACTCGTCAGAGTAGAAGAAAAGCTCAATGCACCAAATTATTGAGATAGCCTTAATGAAAACCCAGTCCAGAGCATTCAGAAACTCAGACTGGGCAGAAGGTTCACCTTCCAACAGGACAATGAGTGGCTTACAGACAACTCTGTGAATGTCCTTGAGTGACCCAATCACAGCCTGGGATTGAACCCAATCATATATTTCTGGAGAAACCTGAAAATGTGCGTCAGCCCCCATCCAACCTAACAGAGCTTGAGAGGTGAAGAGATGAGGAGAAGAATAGCAGATAATTGCCAAGTGCTGATGTGCAAAGCTTGTCGCATCATACCCAAAAATACTTGAGGCTGTAAAGGTGCTTCAGCTAAGTACTGAGTTAACTGCCTTGACTTATGCAACGTACTTATTTCAGTTTTTTTATTTTTTCATATAAATTTACAAAGTTGTGACAGTTCTGTTTTTGCTTTGTCATTATGGTGTATGGAGTGTAGATTGATGTGGGGAAAAAAAATAATTTAAAGCAGTTTAACATAAGGCTGCAACATAAAACGTGGAAAAAAATGACAAAGGCTCTGTATTAAGTTGTTAACTGATTAATTATATATATTTGTTACACATTTATAATTGAAAATAATTTATATATATTATATACATATATATATATATTAGTGCTGTCAAACTATTAATCGCATCCAAAATAAAAGTTTTTGTTTACATAATATGAGTGTACTGTGTATATTTATTATGTATATATATATATATAAATACAAACACATGCATTTATATATTTAAGAAAAATATGTTGTGTTTATATATTAAATATATTTATATATAATATAATAATATAAATATATAAATGTATATACATGTAAATATTTTCAAAATATACACTGTATGTGTGTGTATTTATATATACATAATAAATAAACACAGTACACATAAATATATTATGTAAACAAACACTTTTATTTTGGATGCAATTAATCGCGATTAACCATTTGACAGCACTAATATATATATATAGTTTGCACCTGAAGCTTGTTTTTTTTTTTCTTTTTTCCCAGGTTTGGAAATAATTATTTTATATTTTCCAAGTTTGTCCCTGCTGTGGGAACCCTGTGTGACTCTGTACCTTGGAGAGGTGCGGTCGGTGGCGGCGTTCAATAGTCACGTCCCCACGAAACACCGGTGAGGAAACTTCAGAGCGGGAATCTGGGTTGAGGGGGCGATTAGGGGAGAAAGTGTGGTAACCGGCCAGAGACCCATGGGAAGGAGACGTGGGGATGGACTCGGCGATCTGGCCCATGGTTTTGGGGCTGGGCAGCGTCCCGTATCCGATCCGGCAGTGTGCCTGCCTCTGCTGCCACTCGTACAGCTGCCACATGGTGTCGTCCCGTATGGAGCGCCGCTTCTCTGCAGTCGTGGGCTGCAGAGCCCGGTCGTACATCGACCCCGCCACGCTGCAGATGCTGTCCGGCCGCAGCATGTTACGCGGGAGCGTCCGGTAGCCCTCGGGATAACGTGGGACGATCTGCGCACGGTGGCTCGGCATGTTCCGCGGCAACGTTTGGTAGGACGTAATGCTGGAAGACAAAGAAATTGGACTTCCAAATTGGAAATTGGACTTTCAACTGCACTTGAAAAATGAAAGGGTTCAATTTGCATTGAATTAAAAGATAAATTAATGTTTTATGGGTTTGAGTTAAGACACAATATAAAATTAAGACACAATACAGAATGTCTGGGGGAAAAAAAAAAATTCATAGCCCTATTATTGTAAAAAGATTCATAAACCAATTTCTTTAATGAAATTAATTCAGACATGCTTTTTAAAATAATTAAGAAAAAAAACAACAACATTAAAACATAATGCAGAAAAACTGGAGACCAGAAGAATTAAACCATTAAAAACAGGAATCAAGATAAATTCAAATGGCAAAAAAAGAAAAGAAAAAATAAACTGAATTTGGAGAAAAAAGTTTGGGGTCAGCAAAATTTGGTTATATTTTTGAAACAAACAAAAAAGTCTGCATTCATTTGATCCAAAATACAGTAAAAAATTTTTTTAAAACTATAACATTTGAGTGAACTTGACTTTAGTCAATCAAATAGTAATTTATATATTTATTAATTTGTTACCAAAAAACTTAAAGGGTTTCATTTTCATTTGATTAAAAAAATTATGTTTTTATCTTTTAATCAAAAGATAAAACCAGTAATCTTTTAATCAAATGAAAATTAAACTATAACGTTTTCAAATTTGAAAATGATTAAATATACACTATGCTGTGAATAACATTTTCGTCAATTTGATTTTAGTGAATCACATTAATTTATATATTTATTAATTTATGCTCATTTAGACATTAAATTAAATATAGATTCATTCTACATGAATTTAAATATTATTTATGCTCATGGGCAACATTTGGTAGGATGTTATGCTTGAAGACAAAGAAATTGGCGTCACAGAAAGGTCAGCGATATACAAACAACTCCGCTTGAAGAAGAGAGTTTTAGAATACAATCATGCTCATAAGGCCCGGCTTTGACTTTGTGATGATTTCCTGTTGTGCTGCAGGCAATAATTAAGCACTGACTCATTAGTATACGATAAAAGCGTCATGCTTATACTCGCTTCTAAAAACACCTCAAATTTTTTCACTCGTCATCTGCCAATCGCTCAGAAATAATTGCACATGCATCAGCAACAGGAAACGCAGGGAAAAGATGTACATGTGCCAGGACACTTTCTGAAGACTGTACTGAGATTTACTCTTTACCAGGAGCTGGTGAGATCGGTTTGGCACTTTTATAGGCACCATTAAAAGGTTTGGCATGTGCACCCTTGTACTGACATAGCAGAAATCAATAAAGAGCTCTGACTGCCAAGAAGCACAACCACAAAAGTCATGTCTCAATTTGCTGAACACGAGGAGCTCCAAACGATGTTGGCTGGATGCAGAAAACCAGCTCAATTATCTACCACGGTGTAGGGTATTGGCAACATTAACATATTTTAATCTAATTTTACATTTTACAGCAGTTAGTTTCGCTCAGTTTATTAAAATATTTAAAGTTTTATGATAGATATTATGTTTAAAAATATTAATCAAAACACGCATGAAACTAAATATTTATTCAAATAAATGCAACACTGAAAAACAATTATTTTTTACAAACTTTAAACAAATGAGAAATATTTAGAATACTATTGTACTACAAATATTATAATACTAATATTAGTATTAGTATTTTAAAATATTAATTGAAACATGCATTAAGATTTAATAAACTAAATGCATTAAAACTAAATGTTGTTAAACAACAAACTTTGAACAATTTAAATATTTTAAGTTTATTATATTTAATATTATAATAAAGATTGTACTATATTTAAAAATATTAAACAAAAGATTTGTCTTTGTTGATATAAATACAACATTAAATTCTCATTTTTTTCATCAATAAACATTAAAACATTGTTAATATTGTGCAAAGATACATTTGTCAAATTTGTTTAATCAGTGTATAATTACAATTATTTAATCATCCTTTCACATTTGTTATCGTTGTTGAAATCCAAAAACCCAGTCAAACAATCTTTTTAAAGTAATTTCGCTGACAAAATTAACAGTGACACTGCACATCTGCTCAAAGTTCTCTCATCTAAAATAAAATAACTTTGATTACAAATGTGATTGAATTTTTATTTGTATTTGCTGCTTTTAATGGCGTCCTGAATTTTGAGCATTGTTTTGGTAAAACTAAACAGCTTAAAAATTCAGTTTGCTGCCTGAGAAAATAAATACAGATTGTGGCATGCAACCACGCAGTCTGCTGAGAGTCTGGAAAAAGTTTTTGATTGGTCAGGACGTCCATATGCAAGAAATACTGTCAAAAACTAGCCTGACGGCGGTTTATGCGAGAGTTGCGATATGTGCATGAGTTGCACAAATATTGATGATAGTTTCTGAAGAGCATGTAGGCACAGCAGAGACACGCTTCACCGATGCCTTTTGATAATCAGCATGAATCAGCATCTTAAATAACACGAACACACGGCGCCGTTCTCTCTCCTCGCTCGCCTTCCTGTTCCTCTTCCTGCACTGACAGCAACTCTGATCCACTTTGAGACACATTTTCGTGGTGCTCGAGCACAAAGCTCCATGACTTATTCATCAGAGGAGAGGAGGACGAGACAAGCAAAGCAAACACACGTCCTCCTACTCTGCCACTGCACGGCTAAACAGAGGATAGCACCTGACAGCATACGCTCCTCCCACACAACCGGTCCGGGCCAGCGGAGGCATTGAGACCGGGCAGAGGTAAAAATATCTGTTGGGTCATGATAAAGAGCTCATGCAGGAACACTGCCTGCAGACGCTGGAGTTTGTTGTGGAGCAGATGTGTCAGGGGACTGAGAGTGGGAGAGAAAACAAAGCACTCTGCTGCTCTCTGGCACTACTGTCAGAGGCCTGATGCTTCAGAAACTCAGACAGACAGAATGATGCATGGACACAGCATCTAGTTTGTTTTCTGACAGACAGACGGGAGTGTACAAAAATACAACTATATATGCACTCAAAAAGTAAAGTAGTTTTTAAAGTGCATTTTGTGTAGATCGTAATGCGTTTAATTTGAGAAGCATATATGACTACATTATAAACTACATAATCCACACTTTACAAAACTACAAAATCATTTTACAAACTAAACGTTACAAACTACATAATACAGTTACTGTCTGCCGCCATTTTGGAGAGTACAGCGACGCATGTGCACGCTTTCCACAGAACGTAATCAGCTTTGTTTAAGTTCAGGAGAAAGCGCACGCATGCGTCATGGTACTCTCCAAAATGGCAGAAGATGTTAACTCGGGGAGGAGAATTGTTGAATAAATTATGCAATTTTTGTTTTCTTTGAGAGAGCTCTCAGATTTAGGAAAAAATATCTTAATTTGTGTTCCTGAAGATGACCGAAGGTCTTACGGGTTTGGAACGACATGAGGGTGAGTAATTAATGACTGGGTGAACTAACCCTTTAAAGTTTATGACCTGTAAAGTTTTTCGGTTTGGCAAGTTTGCATTGTGTAGTTTGTAATATTTAGTTTGAGAAGAATATGTAGGTATATAAACACAACAAACATAATATACACTTAAAGTACAAGATAATAAGATTTACAATCTAAACATTACCAGCTACACAATATACAAGCTAAAAACTACATAGTCAAAAATATTACAAACTACAAAACACAAACTTTAAAAACTACACAATACTTGCTTTTACAAATTAAACACAAACTGTGTTGTAGTTTGTAATGTGTGTAGATGGTAAAGCATATATTATGCAGTTGATATTTTGTGCATAGTGTAGTTTGTGTTTTGTAATGTACACTTTACAAGCTAAAAACTAGTCAAAAATATTACAAACTACAAAACACAAACTTTAAAAACTATATTTAACACAATACTTGCTTTTACAAATTAAACACAAACTGTGTTGTAGTTTGTAATGTGTGTAGATGGTAAAGCATATATTATGCAGTTGATATTTTGTGCATAGTGTAGTTTGTGTTTTGTAATGTACACTTTTCAAACTACAAAATAAGTTTACAAGGTAAACATTACAAGCTACTCAATATACATGCTAAAAACTACAAATAAAAGTCAAAAGCATAAACTACAAAATAAAATCTTTACAAACTTTACAAACTAAATACCTGCTTTTACAAACAAATGTGTAATGTGTTTCGCTTGTAAAGTGAGCATTTTGTAGTTTGTAAAATGTATATTGTGTAGTTTGCAGTTTGTACTGTAATTAATAATCTAAGTAGTTTGTAAAAAAGTAATTGTATAATGTGCAATGTGTTTAGATTTTAAAGCATGTATTGTGAGTCTGACAATATGTATAGTTTGTAAAGTGAACATTTTGTAAAATATAGTTTTGTGTAGTTTACAATGTGTGTAGCATTTAAAACATGTATAGTTTGTAATGTGTTTGGTTTGTAAAGCATGTAAAGTGCGTACTGTGTAAATTGTAAAACAAGTAATTTGTAAAGCAGGCATTATGTAGTTTGCACAGCATGTAGTGTAAAACATTATGTAGTTTGTAGTATCTTTGGTTTGCAATGTGTTTGGTTTGTAAAGTGCATGCTGTATAGTTTGTCAAGCAGGGATTGTAAAGTTTATATTGTGCAGCTGATGTGCAAAGTGAGCATTTTGTAAAATATATATTGTGTAATTTTTAATGTGTAGCATTTAAATTGTACAATTTGCAATGTGTTTGGTTTGTAAAGTTCGTAGTTCATAATGTAAATGTTTTAATATTTATTGTGTAGTCTACAAAGTCACATGTAGTTTGTAATGCAAGTAGTTTTAATGTTTAAAATGTTATATAGTTTGTAAAGTGTGTACGGTGTACTTCGTAATAAAAGTAGTTTGTAAAGTTTCCTGTAGTTTGTACTGTGTAGTGTAAAATGTGTATTGTGTAGCATGTAGTACGTTTGGTTTGTAAAGTTTCTAGCTCATAATGTAACGTTTGTAATATTTATTGCTTAGTCTACAAAGTCACATGTAGTTTGTAATGCAAGTAGTTTTAATGTTTAAAACGTTACATATAGTTTGTAAAGTTTTTAAAGTATGTACTGTGTACTTTGTAATGCAAGCAGTTTTTAACTTAGTTCCATATTCTAATTAGTAAAGAAAGTAGGTATTGTGTAGATTGTACTGTGCATAGTGTAAAATGTGTATTGCACAGCATGTAGTACGTTTGGTTTGTAAAGCTTGTAGTTTATAATGTAAAGTTTGTCATATTTATTGTGCAGTCTATAAAGTCACATATAAGCTAGTCTCTCATGGGATCATCACAACCACACTAAAAAGAAGGCTAAAAAGAATTAGAGCATTAATGAGACTTTACACACACAAAAAATCAATAAAGCAATAAAATAAGCAATATTAGCTTGAAATGAACCCCTAAAGGGTTATAAAATGTGTTTCCTCACCTCCTGGTGTCGTCGTCCGGGGCCCGTGTGCGGTGTGTACGGACCCACTGCTCCAGCTGCTGCATGGAGTTGGTTCTGCTCAGGGTTCGCTCTGGTTCTGCTGGCTGTGGCGGCACCGTCGTCCTCTGGGGCATCGTATTGCTCATGTCTCCAGGGCTTCGGTCTCCTCCTCGTTCCCCAGAACCGTTGACCTGGGCCGGCTTGTACTGCCCGGATCCTGCTGCGCACTGGAGCTGTCTGGAGGACGAGACGGCCGCAGCGATGGCCGCGGCTTGAGCCGGCTGGAGTTTGATGCTGTTGATCTTGGTGAGCGGCCGCTCCACAGTGCCCTCGTTCTGGAAGCCGTATTTCTCACCCTCCAGCAGTGGCGGGACGGGTTTCTCCGGGTCTTTCTGCTGCATGTGTTTGTCTCCATGAGGGTACCTTGTCTCTTTTTGCAGGATCTTCTCGCTGTCTTTCGGGGGAGCGTATTTTTCGCCTTCCCTCTGAAGCGTGAACTTGTCTCCGTCTTTGTGTAGCGTGTATTTCTGGCCATCCTTCTGCAGCAGGTACTTCTCTCCGTCTTTGTGGACTGCGTATTTGTCTCCGTCTTTCTGCAGAACATATTTCTCCACGTCCTTCTGCAGCATGTATCTGTCTCCGTCCTTCTGCAGAGCGAGTCTCTGAGCGTCTGAGTGCAGAGTGTAGTTGTCTGCGTCTCTCTGGAGGTTGTATCGCTCTCCATCTTTCTGCACGCTTACCCTGCCGTCTTTCTCTTTTTGCTTGTCCACGGCTTTCTGCTTCTTCTCCTCCTGGCGGAGCGTCTCACGGTTTCTCTCGTTGTTTTGGATCTCGGGTCGGGTCAGGACTCGGTGATTCAGCATGTTGTTCATCTCCTGAGGGCTGCGTGAGTCAACCTTCACCTTCTCAAGCCTGCAGAAAGAGAAAGAACGAAAAGCTAGTGAGTGAGAGAAGCAAGCGAGCATTTCAGATTAAAAACAAGCGATTCAACTGCTCTAAATGTATAAGATTTATAAAGAGCTTTACTAGACAAACTACGTGATACAGAGCACCACTGAAACACTAAATCAATGCAATCTCTTTCTGACCAAACATTTGTCTCTCTTTTAATAAAAGTCACTTTGTTTCTATGAAAAGTGAGCTGAAGTTCCATTTCAATCACAGCTGTGATCCTGTTGCCGAAAAAAAGAAAAGCAAGTGTTTAAGTCTGAGAGAACTCTTCAGTATCTGTGATTGTGCTAAAAGCTGTAATGAAACAAACAAGACACACAGAGTTTCAAAAACATCTTCTGCACTTATAAAGCTGTGAAAATCTCTGCTTGTCAGACTCTCTCGGGATAGAAGCGGCTCTAGTCTAGAAACTCAAAAAGGTATGACAAAAGCACCGTTATGAAGAGTGCCAAGAGGAAAGAGGAAACGCTGAAGTGACTGAAGTGGTTTCTACTGAGGCAGCTTAAAGACAAGTTAACAACAATATAAATAATTCTTAACCTGGAAAATTAAAGTAAAATATATTTTTATATATAAAAAAGCATTTATTAACAATTTACATCATCTTTGTTATTATTGATTTTAAGCTATTTATATTACTAATTACATATTTTGTTTTGCTTTTAAGAAACTGCTTCTTAAACTGGGGTAAAAATATACATTTAAAAAATATTAACATTTTGACATTATTACTGATCATAAAAAACTTATTTATTTTTTCTTTAATTTATTATTTCTTTTAAATTTTTCAGTTATTTAATTATTATTTTATTACTAATTAACTTATTTTGTTTTGCTTCTAAAAAAAATTCTTAACCCAGAAAAACAAATTGAGTAAAATATCTTTTATATAAAAAAAAGGATTAACAACTCAAATTTTCACTGATCACAAACAACTACTTTAGGTTTTATTTCTTTGTTATTTTTGCTTAAAAAAAAGTAATTAATTTGCATAAAATTTTGACAGTATTAGTGATCATAAAAAACAACTTCAGATTTTTCTTTATTTTATTATTGTTTTTAAATTATTTATATCATTAATTACTTTTTTTTGTTGTTGTTGCTTTTTTGCACTAACTCCTAACCTGGGAAAACAAACTGCTGAAATTAACGGCTATAAATGTCATTGAAGTGGTACAAGGGATTTGAATGTTTTCCTTTTGATTGGTTCAGAGTGAACCGGAGCATGTTTTCTTACCTTCTGATTGGCTCAGAGTGGACCAATGCTGCATCTGTCATAACCTTCATCCAGGACTCCATATCTTTGGCTGTGTCAGTGCTGAAATAGTACGTCCGCATGTTTGGATGCGTCGCCTAGTTGTGAAAAACCAACACAGCACCCTGAGGGGAAAAAAGAGTGGACGGTGAATACCAATAAGTACCTGCTTTGGGTGTCCTAGCTGGTGTCAAAATGCAATAATGCTTGAGTAGTCTTTCTGAAGTGAGCAGAAATTCGTCAGGAGGATTTGAGTTGACAGACCCCCATCGTTCAGAGCCCCTCAGGAGTTTGTCTGACTGCTCGACTCTGACAGCTTTTGTCTGGATATTACAACTCATCTCTCACAACAGTTTATATAAGCTTCAAAGAGCAAACACTCAGCGCTTTAGAATAGTTAGCAAGAACTCCGTTATAAACCCTAGTGAGATGTTTCAGTCTACATAGGCAGCATACAAAATAAATTTCTATGAGATACACTCTTAATGGGTGCCATCAGAATGAGAGTCCAAGCAGCTGATAAAAGCATCACAATAATCCACAAGTAATCCACTCCAGTCCATCAGTTAGCATTGTGAAACCAAAAGATGTGTGTTTGTAAGAAACAAATCCATCATTAAGGTGTTTTAGCTTTAAACCATAATTTCTGGTCAATATATGAGTCCTTATTATGGATTATGGACTCGTATTTTAGCCAAAAGCAATGGTTTGAAGTTAAGAATGTCTTTATAATTATGGATTTGTTTCTTACAAACATGCAGCTTCTGTCTTCCCAAGAAGTTAATTGCTGGTGTGGATTACTTGTGGATTATGGTGATGTTTTTATCAGCTGTTTGGACTCTCATTCTGACGGCACCCATTCACTGCAGAGGATCCATTGTTGAGCAAGTGATGGAATGCTACATTTCTCCAAATCTGATGAAGAAACACTTATCTACATCTTGGATGGCTTGAGGGTGAGTGAATTTTCAGCAAATGTAAATTTTTGGGTGAACTATTCCTTTAAGGTCTAGATAATGAAAGGATGAAGATGTTCCTGGTTAATGTGGTGAAGTATGTTAATGTGGCATTGTGCAAAATCAGGACTCACCATATTAGCGAAGCTCCATCTAGTAAACATGTTGATGCTCGAGTTCATGAATCCTCATGGAGGACAAGCCACACCATTGTGAAATAGAGAATAAGATCGAGAAAAAGTAATGAGTCGACATGAAAATACCTGCACTAATAGGTAAATGACTCCACTGAGACTCACAGAACAAGACACAAAAATGCAGCGTCAGCTGAAAAGTGCCATCCAGCAAAAACCTGTGTCAGGAAACTGGTCTAACTCAAGTTAATAATTGTTTTACTAGAGCCAAACTCTCGCCCCTTGAGCAGGATGGCAGGATTTAATTTTCAAGACTTGATTAAATTCACAAATGAACACACCGATCCGACCCCAGAGAGAGACTAAATCTGTCTAACTTTAATTCTCAAAATTTAGTTAATACTAAAAAGTTTTGCTGGCCTGAAGTCAGCGTAATATTTCTAATGCTTTTAATGGAAATAGTCAGGATCCTAAAAGTGACAAGGTTTGTTTCTATAAGCTATTAGACAAGTAAAAATTTTGTAATACAATTCAACTTGGTATCAGAAACAAACAATGAACACAATTTTATTAATCTAGGTTTAGGTTAATTTATAAATACATGTTCAAAAGTTCGTGGTCGGTAAGTTTTTGTTTTTAAAAGAAATTAATGCTTTTATTCTGCAAGGATGCATTAAATTGATCATAAGTAACAGTAAAGACATTTAAAATGTTCCAAAAGATTTCTATTGCAAATAAATGCTGTTCTTTTGGATTATCTATTCATCAAAGAATCCTGAAAAACCAAATGTATCACGGATTCCAGAAAAATTTGAAGCAGCACAACTGTTTTTGCCTTTCAATTTGAGTCTGTTGAATTCGGGATAAAATGATTGTGCAGCGATTTGAAAAAATACAGATATGTTTGTGTATAAAAATTTTCTGTTCTAAAGGAACAACTGACAACGTGCCATTGAATTACAGAAAAAAACAAGGTACGGTCACAAAGTTCTTGCATGGCAAAATAATATAAGCTATTCTGTGCCTTAAGGCAAGTTAAGTTAGAACAAGTTCAATAAAACATCTTTATTATATTTCTACGATCGTTGGTAGTTGTGTTTGTGGGGGACGTGACATGCTGTAAACTGAGAAAATGAAGTCTCAATCCAAATGAACTGAACAAGATCGACTCGAACTAGACATCAATTAATACACGCGTGTCACCTGATCCACGTATGCACAGATTCCTTTTTGCATGAGCAATTTATGATATATTAATGCAGAACAGAACATTTTTATACGCAAACATGTCTGTATTTGTACAAATCTCTGCACAATTATTTAATCCAGAATTCCACAGACTCAAATTGAAGGGTATTTGTTTGTGGTTAGTAAGATACATGTATAAATTGTATGCAGTACATGGATAATTGTGCGTGCATTTATTAATCATTTATAGTCTAATATCATCCCATATTCCTGATCCAGTGTTTCAATGAATGACTCAGTGTGTCTACATCAATCTGCTGAATACATGATTCGACGAATCACTTAAAGACCTGAATGAACTGAATCAGTTGAGTGAATAATTCAACGATTTACTGGTGATAAATATATTCCTGAACGTTCCTTGTGTTTTTGAAGTAAATGAAATCACTTGTTTAATTCCTGAATGAATCGAATTTATTGAATGAAAGATTCAATCATTTGCAGAGGATAAATATATTTTGTTAATGTATAAGTCAGTGTTTTGAAAGGAATCGATTGAATGAATGAATTTCTCACTCATGAAGACAGTCACTTGTTTCGTTCCTGAATTAATCAAATGGGTCGATTGAAAGAATCAATCAATTTCTACTAGCAAATCACTTTCCTAAATGAATCAAATTGGTTGAGTGAAAGATTTAATCATTTTCTCATGAAGACAGTCACTTGTTTTATTTTTTAGTGAATAAAATCAGTCGATTTAAATATTCAATCATTTTCTCATAAGGACAGTCACTTGTTTTGTTCCTGAATTAATCTAATCGGTTGAGTGAAAGATTCAATCATTTACAGGTGACAAATATATTTTGCTCTTGAATAAGTCTAATAATTGAGTAAGGAATAGATTGAGTCAATGAACTTCTCACTCATAAAGACAGTCACTTGTATCATACCTGAATGAATTGAAATGGTTGAATGAAAGATTCAATCATTTTCTCATAAAAAAACAGTCACTTGTTTTGTCCCTAAATGAATCAAATTGGTTGCATGAAAGATTTAGTGATTGACTGAATAAAACATATTTTAGTCCTGAATGAATCAGTGTTTTTGAAGGAATCGACTGAGTGAATAAATGACCCACTCATAAAGACAGGTCAATTGTCACAACCTACTGGCATAATGTAAACTGAAGAAAGAGTCACTGAAAAATCTGTATATCTATAACATGTCCATTAGGGGTTGTGACGTTGAGGAAATTTTCCCACCGGTTAATCGACATGTGACAACACCGATAATACCGGTATCACCGTGGGGGCGTATCCTCTTTTCTTTCTCTTTTAAATAGCTTGCAAAAGCGGCGTGTGCTCTTTACTTTCACTTTCAAATAGCGCCAATTCGGCGTAAAGCAATTGTTCATTTTTAGTTCATTAGAATTTTCCCTCTTTTCCTCGCTTTCCTTCACTTTTAAATAGCTTAAAAGCACCGTGCGCATTTTACTTTCGAATTAGCGGCAATTCGGCATCAGTTGCTTGAATGCAACAACAAAATACAACGTCAAAAAAAAAACTTTAGCCTATTTATAAAACATAGAACTTTTATTAACAAAACAAATAAAAATACACCATGCTATAGGGCAGGCTATGCCTAATATAAAATAACAAATAACTTACATAAAGTTTAAATAGGTAGCCTATACAAAACTGGAAATAAGCAAACGTATAATATATAACCAAATAAATAAGAAACGTAGAAAGTTTATTAGCAAAATGAATAAGAAAGCTTGGAGGCACGGCATACACCTTGATGTCAAATAAAATAAATAAATTACACAAAGTTTAAATAATGTAAAAATCAGCAAACACTGTGGAACCAATTAAATAAGAAACGAATGTTTAAAAAAAACTTCCAAAATCACCTTAGATACTGAACTAAATGATATAAATGATATATATAACAAAAAATCAAAACATCGGTGGGGGTCGGTGCCGCGGTGGGCAAGTGACGTAACCGGTGTTGCGGCTTAACAACGGTATCACCGTCAGCACCGCCTATCGCGGCAAGCCTAATGTCCATGCATGTTTATTTACAGTTGTATAAATAATGTTAAGTAGATGTTTGAAATCCTAACCCAAAATATGGGCAATATACATTCTTGTGATGCAAACTCAGCAGACTAACATGCTTGCTATTCCTCTGCAACAGAGACCAATGAAGACAATGATATTTCAGCACTATGATATGCAATTGTCTTTTAAAAGTTACATGGAGCAAGTTTTTGCATTTTGTAAACATCCCACACAGTGAGTTCTGGAGCACAGTGTGCGGCTCAGATCTGTGAGGCGGCGTTCAGAAGTGAAGAAACCTGCCGGTGGCTCACAGCAGACGCCGCGCTGAATCACTGACAGCAAACAAACACAGAGAGATGATCAGCTCTCTTGTCAAGATCAGACTCAGCCTGATACCGCCAAAAACAATCTAAGCTCAGAGAAAGTTCAGCGACGGATACAAAACTCTAACAATTCTGCACAAAATCTCAGCCAACAGTCATTAGGACTGGAGCGGTAAACAACAAGTTCAAAGGAACAGCCTTAATTTTAATAAAAAAATATTTTGTAACATTAAATTGTTACAGACCCCAAACTGTTGAACAGTAGTGTATTTTATTTTATTTTTTTTATGTATTGGTTTTTAGTTACCAAACCTAGCTGACATTAAAAATCTCTTATTATTCACCACCTCATTTTTATTTTTATATAAAAGCAAAACTTTATTTTAATTGGCCAAATTTCATAATGCGTACAGCGTGCACTGGTCAGTCATGCTACATAAGATGAGTGATTTATTATTATTTCACTAAAATGACTAAAACTAAAAACAAATTAAGCAACAGAAATATTTGTAAAAATAAATAATTTTTTAAATAATAAAAATAAAAAGACAAAAGGTACAACACAATTGCTAAAAATAAAAATGAAAATATAAAAACAGTTTATTTAAAATGTGAATAAATACTAAAATAGTACATAAACAATACTAAAATAACACTGAAATAGTGACCACTGTCAATAGCAACGCTTTATAACTGAATAGAGAAACAAGTTACATATGTTTCAACATTTATATCCATTTATTTGTTTACTTGTTAAGTAGCCATCCGTGAGAAGTGAGATGTTCAGTCAAATGATAATTAGAGCAAAATAAACCTCATCAGGGTACTTCTATTGAGATAATATAATATCAAGATAATGACTGGCTGACAGTAAATTATCCATTATGTAAATCATAACTGACAATCATAGAATTATTAAAAAAAGACTTATGAACTAGTTCATTTTAACGAATCAATAAAAAAAGACTCACTTTTGAATTCCTGTGTTAGCAGTTTGAATCAGTCTATTGACTCACTCAATCACTCAGAATGAACAACAGAAGGAATCAAAAGAACCACATTGAATCATTAGTGATTCAAAATCATTATGTGGAATCCGAATCATTCAGTAATGCACTCGCAAATTTTATTCAGATCACTAAAAAAACTTTTGGAAGAGCACATAATAGTAGAAACCATCCATTTAGTAGACATACAGTGCTACGATTAGAAAAATACACAGCGTAAAACCCACAGATAGCAGCGCAAATGTGTCACTTGATTACATTGCAGCAAAAGTTAACAAAGTGTTCAGAGATGAATTTATTCTCACACATAAACAGGAAAATCAGACACATTGATGTGTTTTTATAAACAGAGACACTCGACTCACCTCTATAGTAGAAGAGGCACATGTCAGACAGAACAAACCATCTCTTCTTCCACATCTTCATTCCAGTACTGTCCTGCAAAATCCAGCAGCACAGCCGTCAATAAAACCAGCCGACCAATCACGGTGCAGCACAGAAAGCCCGCCCCTTTCAAATACACGCTTATTTTCCTCAAATATCTCTGCTTTGTTTGCTGCTGCTCTCCAGAATTGAAACTCTCTCTTTTTTTATTATTATTATTTTTTAAGGCGACTCATTTATCTGAGGCATGAATCATATTCATATTCCTCCCTTGTGTTTTACTGTTTGTTGTGTTAATGTTTGCACCATGTAAGCATGTAAATTTGAATTCAGACAACAAAGTCTGACAATTTTGCTTGTGCTGCGGGAGCAGCTTTGATGGAGGATGTTTGGGGAAGAGGAGAGACCACCTCTGTAGTCGTGTTTTTCGTGGAAACACGCTGCTTTCAAAGGAACGTTGGCGCAGCGATCACACACACAAAGACGCACTCAACTTACTGATGCGACCATAACGCTTTATGTGTTTATTTCGATCTGGCTTTTATGAGAAGCGATTGTGAAAAATATGATGCAAAAGCACAAATGTGCTTGTGGAGTCGTGCATGGCCTGCATAAAAACACAGGCAGATGAAGCACGGATGAAACGTTTGATGATAAGCTTTTAAGTGCAGGCAAATCTCAGAAAACGTGACCATCAGCAACTAAATAACCATCAAAACTGCTCAACTGAAAACTTTTATCTCAGTTGGTCATGTACTGTGATATAACCATGATTTTTTAGTAGTTTTTTTTAATACATCAGGTTACTAAGGAAACGCATATGATTAGTATCATGCAAAATAAAATTATATTAACAATTATAATTAATAAATTATAAAAAATTACCAAATGTATTTTTTATTAAAAAAATTACCAAATTTAATTTTTATTTATTTTATTGTCCTCATTTGTAAGTCACTTTGGATAAAAGCGTCTGCTAAATGACTAAATGTAAATAGAAATGTTAATTTATTTTTATTAATTTAATTAAATTAAATTTAGCATTACAGTAATGAGAATCTATGGCTGAATATGCTTAATTGTGAGGAAAATGTAGTTATAATGCTAAAAAAACCCTCAAGGGTCCAAAAAATAAAATTTTCAACTTCTTTTTAATATATATATATATATATATATATATATATATATATACGAGTAAACAAAAAAATATCATAGCCGATGGCGATTCAATGCCAAGGTGTCCGTAGAGGGTTGACTGTAAAACCAGTTTGTGCTGCACTGTATGTGTGTTGTCCTATCGTATCATATGTTGAATTTCTAAATGAATCAGCTGTTTGAATGAATTGAATGAATGAATGAATGAATGAATGACTCACTCATTATCCAAGACATTTACTGCCACCTACTGGCAGTTTTAGTTTTTTATTTAGAGTATAATTTTATTAAAAATAAATAAATAAATCATAATAAATTCATTTAAAAACGAATTAAAAATAAAAAATTTAATGAAAAAGAATAAAATAATTTTTAACTAATTACAAATTAATAAAAAAAAAAAAAACATTGCATTTGTGGCATTATTTATGCAATTATAAATGCAAGGTGTAAATGCCACCTCAGAGCTGCAATAAATGGTCTGTAAATATACCTAAATACTAATTCAGATGCAGCTTCTGAAAAAAACTATTTATTTGATGTTGAATCAGATAAAATATTTCTTTTTTTTTTGTCTATTTGATGCTTTTCTCATTTAACACAAAAATGACTTTAAATTATCTTTTTTTGGGGGGGAATTGATTAGATTTAGAATTTTATTTGGGTAATTGATTAGATTAAAAAGTTTAATCACTTGATAGCTTTATATATGTACGTAATGTATGCATATGCATGTTCATTTATTTATTTGAGAAGCCACAGCCACTCATTAATTGTTTATCTTGTTTGGGTGTTTTTATGTTATACAGAGTTTAGGGATGTGCAAAATGATATTTTCGGTGGGTTGTCTGAATGACAAGTCGACTAGTTTTCGAAAGCCTTGAATAATGAATCTGATTTAGAAACTTCTCAGAGACCATCCACAAATTTTTATGCAAGATATCACATTAAAAATGCATGATGGAAACACTAAGATTAAATGAATGAAGGTGCAGAGAAAAACACATTAATGCTTGCTTGACATGGATTTTTAACTAGCTGAACAACTAGTCACCCATCCTAACCCACTGCATTTTTATGATACTCTATATCAACTCAACATCACAGAGCAAAGGCAATGAAGCAAATGTGCAGTAATGAGGACGTAATTGTGTAACATGCTATTGATGCATGATGGGACAGTCCAATCTGTCATGCTGGAACTAGGCCAAGGTCAGTGAGTTAGTTAGTGACTCACTCTGGTTGTTGGGCTGCTGGGATGTGTGGTATAGTCTGAGCCGCCCGTGTAGTTCGACGCTTCGCTCATGGTGCTGGTTGGACGTTCTTTCTTCTCGGCCGCTGGTGCTTTGGTCGCTGGTCTGGAAGACAAGAGGAGGAACATCACAAATTAATCTAATTTGTACATCATTAGGACTAATGGGAAGATTCTGGGTTATTTACAGTATTTACTGCATGTTGTCAACTACTACAGACAATAATTTACTCAAAAGCTTTTATACTAAAGAAACTCAAAATGGAAGCAAAACAGAAAAGCAGTAATAGCTTGATAAACCGTTTTCTGCATGCAAAGTCACCATGGTTTATATACAGAAAATAATGTTAAAATGTAAAAATAAATAAATAAATCAAGGGTCCATGTGTTTGTATGTATGTATGTATGTGTGCGTGCGTGCGTGCGTGTGTGTGTGTGTGTATATATATATATATATATATATACATATACATGAGTGAAAATAATAATATAATATAATTATACTAATGCATAAATAAATAAGGGTCCTTAAATCTCATTTTCATGAATTCTGTGGAATTTTTGAACATGTATTTATTTCATATGTGTATTTATGTGATACATAAATATAGATGTAAACATATTGTAGAACTGTATATATATATGCACGTCATATTTCAAGATTACTGCATATGAATTGGTAGGATTTTTAATCAATGCATTGAGAGAACATGACAGATTTACCTGTTGCTCAGAATAAAAACTGCACACTTCAAAAGCTACATGATGACTATTATTTGCATTTATAATTTATTTAAAACAGGAGTCATAAAGACTAACATATTCATTTAATGACATATTCTGTTGCCAGCATTCATTGCAGGATTAAAAGTACCTTTGCATGACAGAAATCTAGTCTGGAGCACAAAGAACATTTTTAAAAAGAACTGCTTCAACAAAAACAGACTGCAGATGTATTTACCAATTCATTTTTACCAATTAAAGAAGACTGTTTGTGGTAATCGACAGCAAGCCACACCTGACATCAGATTTAAAATAACCAGAAGACTGTGAAGGCTGAGAGATGAGCCGTGCAGATAAATGAGGAAAGTTCTGGAGCTTCCACGAGACACTCAGGAAGTTCAGGCCTCTAAACGGCTGTTTTAATAAGCCAGAGCACTTCAGCATTGAGACAGAACGAGAAAGAGAGAAATATAGGAGACAGGCCCCATGCATCAAAGCAATTACTCACTCCACGTCTCCGCTGATCTACTCCTACACAATAGTCAACCTTAAATGGCCTGCCAGCTCCAGCTCTGACATACCGCAGACGCAGTTTATGACCCAGTCAAGCTGAAGGGCAAAAGCAAACCCAACGCAAGAAAAATCAAGACTGTAAAACAAACGCCACCATCTTATTTAATGAAAGTGAAGAGAAAACACAATAAATACGGCCATAAACCCTGAAATCCCATAGCACACGGACGCTCAGTCGAGAGGCTCTGTCCCGTAGGGTTGGCCTATATTTCGATGCTACGGTAGAGCGACGACGTCTAGGGAAAGGGCTGATATCTGGAGCAAGGGAGAGGAGAGAACACCAGGGTAAAATAATATAAGAGCTGTCTGGCTTCTGGGTCACGTCGCATGAGGAAAACACTTTCTGTTTTACAAAAGGCTGAATACTAGCAGCGGTTAAACAGTCTGTTATTTGCGTCCCACAAACTGCATCAGGAGGTTAAAAGGGACGGTTCATTCAAAAATGACTTATGTGTCACGTCGTTTCAAACCTGTGTGGCTTTATCTCTTCAGCTGAACACAAAATTAGATGTTTTGAAGAATATCCTGACTGCTTTTTTTCACTACCATGAAAGTGAAGGAGAACTGAAGATGTCAAGCTCCAACAAGGCAAAAAAGCATCATAAAAGTGGTATGACTGTATCCCAGTCATATACTTGGCACTGTATCCCCCAAGTCATCTGATGTCATACAATAGCTTTATGTGAAGAACAGACCAAAACTGAAGAAGCAATTCACTGAAAATCTTAACATCTGTGCCCGCTTTCTCATGGGAAATGCAGATGTCCAGTTTGAGGACAAATCATTCTAATGAGTCTTTTCAATCATTCAGTTCACTACCAAAAAAAAAAGAATAAATAAATAAAAACCTGCTAATTGTTCATTCTTAATTGAGTGGCCAACATTGAAATGTAATTGAATATAAGTGCATGTTGTCCTATTTCACTTGTTTTAAGTATAAACAAGTTTTAAAAAATCTGCAAGAAATGCATCAGGACAAAAAAGTCCAAATAAAATAATTTTAATTTATTTTATTTAATTTTAAAAATAACTATTTGGACTATTTTAGAATGATCTGAGTGCTTTAAATAAATCTCATAAAAAACTGTTCAAGACAAATACATTTGTATTCAAGATATAATCTATGAAAACAAGTCTTGATATCTCGATGTTGCTTCCCAGGCAAACTTGTTTCAAGGATTTTTAAACTTTAAAAAAGTCAGAAGAGACCAATAAATTAATTTTTTTTCACCCATATCTTTGATAGAACGTGAGAAGACTTTAAATGACATGCGCGGGTTGTCTGGACTACTTTTATGGTGCTTTCGGGTGCTTTTTGAAGCTTATTATAATTGCATTAAAAAAAGAAAGTCATACAGGTTTGGAACAACACGAAGGGGAGTAAATGAAGACATTTTGGCTGAACTACTTCTTTAGCAAACATCGTTTGCATGTGTGCTCGCCGTTGGACACAAGCATTTGATTTTGCATTGGAAACAAGCACAAAGAGACACTTTATGAGATGGTCAAAACAGTCAGCAGTCATGCACACACCAGCACCACGAAAAATACAAAACATTACACAACAGTCCATCCCAGAGGTATTCAAGGAAGGACAGGGAGGAAAGCCGGGTCAGGGTTGCACACAGATCCAAGTACGACCTTCCAGGCCACTGATCTCAAATTAAATTCAGCATTCAACACGGCTATGAGCGTTCATTAATTAATCTCTTCTCAAATAATGAGCTTTAGCGTGTGCTCGGTAGCCACACCGGCAGCCATCATTCAGCTGACATCTGACGGCATCTTTAGAGGAAGAGTGGCAGCGAGTGTGAAATTAGCCCCATGTGGAGCAGCTAAAGCGCGCCGAATCCAGAGATAATTGATGGAGGGGATGTTCAGATGGGTTTGTGGGTTGGTTGGGCACCGGCTCGACTGGAGGTCATTGGCTAAAACGCGCGAGTCATGCAAGGCTTTAAAACTCTCTGCCACTATTTGTCCCTCACGCCCTTCAACTCATCATTTTCATTTGCAGCAGGTCTTTTTGGGTATCTTGGCCCTGAAAAACAATGCCAGAATGAGGACAGCAGGCCTCTAGGACACGTTCAGGAAGCAGCTGAACTTTCCCCGTCTTGCTTGCTTTCAGAACAACATTTTTGTCCCAGTTAAGTGCTTTAACGTGCGTTACTTTCAGGGACATTTCCAATGGCGTGATTTGTTTTGATGGCAGCCATAAAAAGCTTCAAACTTAGTGTTAAAGAGTCAAAGGCCTGTCACGTAATGGCAGAAACAAGCAGAATGGCATCGCTCTAGATCTGACGGGGGCCACCAGAGGCGCGTGTACGTCGAGCCCCAAGTGCTCCATCTCGTCGTGATGCGTGGGATTACGGGACCCCTGCCGAAGTGGCCGAGGACAACATAATTCATTTCCTGACTGAGAGCGACTTCAACATGAGCAGATTCATGTTTCATATTCAACGTGGGTAAGACAAATCGGACGGCACACATAAATCTTGCATATCTCCACATTAGTGATGCATAGCAGGATATCAGGCAATCCAGTTCAAACAGTGCCTTGGGTTAGTGTTTGAGCAGAATTAATGAGACAGAAAGGCAAAACAACCAGAGATGAATGGAGGCTCTGCGGTTCAAAAGAAGCGGCCACGAAAAATACAAAACATTACACAACAGTCCATCCCAGAGGTATTCAAGGAAGGACAGGGAGGAAAGCCGGGTCAGGGTTGCACACAGATCCAAGTACGACCTTCCAGGCCACTGATCTCAAATTAAATTCAGCATTCAACACGGCTATGAGCGTTCATTAATTAATCTCTTCTCAAATAATGAGCTTTAGCGTGTGCTCGGTAGCCACACCGGCAGCCATCATTCAGCTGACATCTGACGGCATCTTTAGAGGAAGAGTGGCAGCGAGTGTGAAATTAGCCCCATGTGGAGCAGCTAAAGCGCGCCGAATCCAGAGATAATTGATGGAGGGGATGTTCAGATGGGTTTGTGGGTTGGTTGGGCACCGGCTCGACTGGAGGTCATTGGCTAAAATGCGCGAGTCATGCAAGGCTTTAAAACTCTCTGCCACTATTTGTCCCTCACGCCCTTCAACTCATCATTTTCATTTGCAGCAGGTCTTTTTGGGTATCTTGGCCCTGAAAAACAATGCCAGAATGAGGACAGCAGGCCTCTAGGACACGTTCAGGAAGCAGCTGAACTTTCCCCGTCTTGCTTGCTTTCAGAACAACATTTTTGTCCCAGTTAAGTGCTTTAACGTGCGTTACTTTCAGGGACATTTCCAATGGCGTGATTTGTTTTGATGGCAGCCATAAAAAGCTTCAAACTTAGTGTTAAAGAGTCAAAGGCCTGTCACGTAATGGCAGAAACAAGCAGAATGGCATCGCTCTAGATCTGACGGGGGCCACCAGAGGCGCGTGTACGTCGAGCCCCAAGTGCTCCATCTCGTCGTGATGCGTGGGATTACGGGACCCCTGCCGAAGTGGCCGAGGACAACATAATTCATTTCCTGACTGAGAGCGACTTCAACATGAGCAGATTCATGTTTCATATTCAACGTGGGTAAGACAAATCGGACGGCACACATAAATCTTGCATATCTCCACATTAGTGATGCATAGCAGGATATCAGGCAATCCAGTTCAAACAGTGCCTTGGGTTAGTGTTTGAGCAGAATTAATGAGACAGAAAGGCAAAACAACCAGAGATGAATGGAGGCTCTGCGGTTCAAAAGAAGCGGATGAGAGAAGAGATCCCTGCAAAGCATTACCTGTTTAAAACAGGATGGACAAGTTTCCCACAATTCAG